TATCATCTACTCGTCATTTTAAAATCAGAAATCGATTTCACATTTTTCACGAGACACGGACGATGCTCACCAACGCCGTGCAGAATGAATTTAAATTATAAATATAACTTCTATGTAGAGAAGAGAAATATCCATCGTTCGATTTCAAATTCTATGCTAATCCAATGTAAAGAAAGATACAAATTTTATTTTTTCGCAATCGTTTTGGGATCATTTTATTTCTACTTTTTCTTATATATACCTATATATACTTTTTTCATAGAAATAGAAGCTTAATAATAATGATGTTATACTAAAGAAAAAATTGATATATTGAAGTAAAGAATAAAATCCTTCACATCGTTACAAAATCGCTGTTAGTTGTGCTTCAATTATTTAAAAGTTAATTTAGAATTGTTGATTCAAGGATGTGTGTGAATTAGTTTTTAAATAATTCAAGTCTAAAACTGATAGCGTTTCGTAACGATGTGAATAAGGATTTTATTAACTTTATTTCAATATACCAATTTTTCCTTAAGTGTAGCGTCATTATTATGATAATTTTCGGTTTCCCCATGAAGAAAAATACTGTGGTGGTTATATCGCCATTACCCCAGCTGAAAATGCACTTGTAAAATATTTAATTTTCATTGGGAATTGGGAGAATACACGCGTTCTCGGAATCGCGAGAGAATACACGCGAATATTGGAGACCTGTTCAGCTGTTCGAGTTAGAAAAAAGGACGACGCAGAGACAGACACGAGACGGTTAAAGCAACGAACGTAAATAGCAAGGAAAGCGAGTAATAATTGGCGATCTCGGATTTTATTTCATTTACAGCTTAAGGAGGTTGTAAGGCAAATGCAATATGTTAAGAACTACTTGAAAAAATTACAGACTATTCTAAATTTCATTTAATAATAATACAAAAAAAATAGAAACAATTGACCATCTGGATCAAAAGTTATTTAAATAAGTAGTAATATTTTTTAAATTTGCACTCTAATGAAAATGTATTATAAAATAATGATAAAAATCTCAATTTTTTATATATTTAAATACTCTAGGAATTCAACAATATTTTTGTAAAGTTATCTTGAGATGCAGACATTAATTGTTCAGTAAATAAATAAAATTTGTTATTTGTTATAAACCAATATTGAATCTCAATGAAACTTTGCATAAGTCATGTTTAGTACTTAATATATTTATATAAAAACATTTAGATTTTTCTTATTATTTTAACAATTTTTGTTT